CGTTTGTTAAGAGACTTTTGAGATGCATTACAGCAGGAAAGCGTCCGTGAATGTCTGAATCAAAAATTCACAATACAGCTACTTTAATATTAATAGAGTGTTCCATTTGAAATTGTTCTATTTCATTGACGGACGTGCATCGAAATTCGCAAATCTGAAAATTGCTATACCGCTGCCTTTATCTACTAATAATATGTACTCGATCAATTTTTACTGAACTGCAAATCTCCACTTTGGTACGCGCATTGGATTTTCGAAAGAATAGATTAAACCAGGGTTAATGATATAGATATGTAATAACGCAAAAATAAAGAGAATAAAATAAATTAAAAGAATGAAATGAGTTATAGAAATCACCGTAAATGTTAGTACGACGCCTGCCGACACTAATATTTAAGATGATCTAAATTTACGTTACTACCTTCCTCCTGATCGTCGGAGGGTTCTCGAGATCGTGTGTTCGAGAATTTGATCAAATACACTCTATGATGTAAATGTAAATGCATGCACATATAATTTAATATAATGCAGTCAACAATACTATATTTTATATTTTTATATGTATTATGTCTTACCTGACTCGCAGCTGTCTCTGGGTTATGCAGTAGGAGTGTTAGGTGACACAAATTAATTATTTAAAATACTCGAATAAAAATAAAGAAACACACTGATCATTGCTCGTCAAAAGGAGTCCAGTTGTCGCTCGTAGAATTCGGTATAGAGAGGTTGTTTGGTGGTGCGCATGCACTCGTGAGAGGCTGTTTCACTCGAGAAACGTGCTCATGCACTGCCGAAGGGACGATCCGGTTGTGCCGGCCAAAGAGTGATAGGCGGCTTCATCAAAAGGTTGTTTCGTACATCCGATTTCTCTTCTGTGACAAGGACCTTTTTTACCATACCTTTTCTCCGGCGGCATGTAAGAAAGCCACACGTCCTACGCTCTACAGTTGCAAACATAGGTACGTGTCGATTTCTTAATCCCTGATCGTATAATATAATTAGACAATTTTGTCTGTGACAATAATTTATTGGGGTCTAGAGATTTCCGATTTCTATGTGTGACAGTCTGGCCGTTATTTATTTATTTGCTATATCTTAAATAATTGTTACAATGATGTGTGAGCATATCATTACAGATAGTTGTTGTATGTTCTCTATCATCTGGTTTTCGTTGTCTGTACAGCGGATAACCATAGCCACCAGTTTATATTTTCTAGGTCATCAAACGCTGATACTTTTTAGTGCATTTTACATATTTTATGCATGTCAACCTGGGTTGTGAAACCCATATGGTCTGTGAATCATGCGTTTGTTGAAAATTTTTAAATAATTCTGGAAATTCTTCTTGATAGAGCAGCTCAGTAGTAATCATATTGTCAATTTAAATGGAAAAAATTGCACCTATCAATCAATCAACTTAAGATATGACTATATAGTATATGAGGATGTGGTAGAATTTTTTTCTATCATCCATCAGAGTCTTTTTCCGTATAGGTACATGGTTCTTAGTGATGATATCTATAAAACATATCAATTTTTATTTGAAAACTATATGTCTATATGTTAGGTCGTGCCTTTTTTTCCGTTCAAAAATCGGAAACTGGTGTGAACTGTTTAGCACATGGGGTGGTTGCTGGGAAAGCAAAAGTAAATCTTTGCTTAGGATTTTTTTGGATTTGAATCCAAGATAAGATGGATTGCATATGAACTTGTTGAAAAGTTCTGAACGTCCGTAGGTACTTGTGAAATTATGTCAGAGAATCCTGAGCATATTAATGCATGTGCCTTGATCGTCCACTATACGAAGCCGGAAATAAAACTAGGTAGATATTTAGTATCTGTCTAATGTTGGCGATATTCTTACAAATTAATATTTTCTTCAACTTATAGCCTCAATTGGTTGTAATAAATGTAATTAAGTCGTCGTTTTCACTTATCAACTATGAATTGAATTGTTGCGGAAAAGTTGACGACCCTTCAGCCTTCAGGACGTGATTAGATTTTTGTGCTCGAATCATGATACGTTTGCTTAAAACATTTTTCAAGATACAACTGACTCTTTTAATTGTCGCAGTACCTGTGACAGGATGAGTTTTATACAGTTCCGAGATTTGCATATTGAAGTGAATTGCATGGTCAAAGCAACATGTTCCTTGGTTTGATCTCCCTTGCCGATAGATACAATATTTCACCATTTGCCGGTAATCTCTATTTCGAAAATTACAGCTGCTACACTTTAAGGGCAGTTGGAGCTTTTAAGTGCTTCCAAACTCTATCAATGGACAATGGTATTTTGTCTGCCACGATAAATGATAATGACTTTTAAGCCATCCGCGCTTATATTTTTTAATGAGTATTGGAAATCTCGGACCAAACTGTTGTCTTTGTGGAATAATGTTCCCTAATGTAGGAATGGTCCAGCCACATAGCTAAGTTAAAGTTACTAGTGGTTTAGCCAGTGGTGACAAATTGACTTTGCCGTTAGAACATGAGTGCAAGACATGTAAGGCGAGAAAATAAGCTAGAAATAAACTCAAAGGATCTGTAGATATAACAATAGTTTAGGAGTCTATTAATTACTGACTGACCAATATCAATTTTCATACATTATATCAGTGGCGTAGCCAGGATTTTTTTTCGGGGTGGAGGGGGGGGCTAATCAATTTTTTACACAGTGGTGGTTTAGTTTTTGATCGAATACCATAGACCATTAAAATAATTTTTTTATTTTATTAACATTTCGGGGGGGGGGGGGGGAGGCTGCAGCCTCCTCAGCCTCCCCCTGGCTACCCCATTGTATTATATTGATAAAATAACTACATTTCTTTCAATAATAATATTAACAAAATTACTTTTAAAAATGTTTAATAAAATATCTTGGTGAATAGTCTTGTACCACAAGTTTCACAAGAAAATTATTGATGGAAATAATCAACCTACCACATTGGTTGAGCTTCATATTATCACTGAGTAACTTTAACTCGATACGAAGATATTTGATGATCAAATTAAGTGTCACATTTTACCAAACCTATTTGAATAGGGTGCAGAGTTCCCCAACTTTCAACCATTTTCTCTATAATTTTTAGTTGATTTACAATTGATACTGTATTACTGTCATATCATACCCTTACACATTCATCAATTGTAAGTCAGTTTCTAGTTTTTATCAGAATTTCCGTGGTCTCCCGGCGAAAATTGTAAAGTTTAAATGTAATGTAGTCTGTATGAATTTTGATTTTTTTGTATTAACTGAAACTAGATGAACCAATTATTTCACTGATTGTGAACTTGGTTTTGCCAATTATAATATTTACAGATATGACAGATGTTCTAATACTAGCAAATGTTTAAGGGCTGGCAGAGTTCTCATTTGCATACGAAAATATTTATCTTCCAAATTAATTGATATTCTTGAAATTAATGATGAACACCTATTGTAATGCTCCCTGTTGGGTCCTCTAAGTTCATAATTATTTCCTCCTCTGAGTCAACCAATTTTATTTGAAAATTTTATGTCCATCTTGGAAACTGTATATCAACAACACTCTGAACACACATTTTTACTCTGTGGACAGTTCAACTTACCTGATATTTCTTGGTCTAATAATTCACATGACCTTACTTATACTTCATCCTCTCATCATCAAATGCCTTGTGTTCCTGAATTACTTGCTTTCAATGGGTTCTACCGAAAAAATTCCATTTTAAACTCTAAAGGTTTCCATTCTTGATCTTATCTGTTGTAAGATCGATTCCGTTGTTTTTTGTGAATCCCTTGAACCATTTGTTCCACCTGATTCTTATCATCCTCCTCTTTATGTCTCATTTCATATTATCTCCTCTACGTTTTATAAGTTATTACTCGCATTATTTTCACAATTTCTAAAATATTGGTTACAATTGTATTATAAATTGTTTGTCTTCCTATGATTGGGTATCTACCCTATCCGACCTTGACTTAAATACTTTAGTTAATACTTTCACTGATTCTCTTCACAATTCAATCTTGAGGTTTGTCCATGTGTCTCACTTCTATAAATCTAGTTTCCCTCCCTGGGTAACCAAAGAGCTCAAAGCTTTAGTCCATCGTAAAAATAAAGCTCATGTGAAGTTTAAATCTACATTTGATCCTGCTGATTATAGTGCCTTTTCCTTACTCCACGCAAAATGTAAATAAACGTATAAAAAATGTCATAAATCTTTTGTTGAACAGTCAGAAAAATATTTATCCTCGAATCACAAGAAATGTTGAGATTTTGTACACAGATTACAATCATGTTGCAAACGTAGTTTCTTTGCATGGTGTCGATAGTTCTTGTAAGCTGGAAAGTGTAAATTTGTTTGCTAAACATTTTTGTTCTATTTATTCTTCAAAATCAGTTATTTCAAACCTCCAACTTTAGAGTCACCATTTTTTGACTTACCGAACTACTGTTACTTCACACCCAATGATGTTTTCCTCAAGCTTAACAGACTAAGAATGTGTTTTCGTTAGGTTACCTAACCTAACGTGATGGAATACCTGGTGATTTCCTGCACAGAAACAGATACATTATTTATATCCTCTTTGATTCCTATTTCAGAGATAACTTGATGTAACATGTAAGTATTTTCCTGATGTATGGAAAATCGGTTCTATTATTCCCATTCGAAAATTTGGTAGCCCCTCGATAGTGACAAATTATAGACCTATTTCTAAGTGTTTTGAGTCCCTAGTCTTAGACTCAATTCAGCCTTCAGTTAACTTGATTTTAGCCAACGAACAACACGGTTTTCGTCCAGGTAGATCTACGGTTACATGAAACCTCAAATTCTGCAGTTTCATACTCGGTTCTTTCAAAGAAGGATCACAATTCACAAATTGATGACATCTATACTGACTTTGTTAAGGCGTTTGATTCAGTTAATCATGAGGTTCTTATTTCTATACTTCGTGCATCAGGTTTTGGAGATTCTATACTACCCTGGTACAATTAATTCTTATTGAATAAATCGCAATGTGCAACACAAAATCTGATGTATTTCTATTTATCTCTGGTGTACCCCAAGGTGGACATCTATCACCACTTTTATTCTCGTTCTTTGTTAACAGTGCTCGTACCTCCCTCAAGCATAGCCAACTTCTCTGTTTTGCTGATGACTTGAATATTTTGCTTAGGATTTACTCAGTCGATGATTGTCTCAAACTCCAGGACGATCTTAATAGTTTCTTTTCCTGGGCTGAAGATCTCGGTCTTACATTACATGTTAATAAATGCCGGTCAATAGTATTCACCAGTAGTAGATCTCTTAGCACTTTTTCTTACACTATAAATGGATTAATTTGATTCCAGTTGATTCTACCATTTGCGATCTTGGATTTAGTTTTACTTTCTCTCATTGTCCTCGTGCCCACATCGATAAAATTACTTGCAAAGCTTTAAAGGGATAAGGTTTCATTAACAGAATATCTGGTGAATTTAAACTCACTAGCTCTCCTAAATCCTTATATTGTGCACTTATATGACCTATCGCTTAATATGGCCCAGTAGTATGGGATCCTCAAACAGCTGATGCCTACTTACAACTCAAACGGGTTCAGCGTAAATTCTTCTGCAGTATGAAATATTCCTTGAATTTAAACTGCACCCCTCATGATTATACTCCCCTTCTTCGTCTCCTAAACATATCTTCCTTAGCATAATCCTCCTTTGTCGACTCCCCTTCCCCTCTGCCTTAATAAACTTTTAAGTTCCTGACAGATGCACTCGCAATATACATACTTTTTTTATTGCATATTGCCCAACAAATTATTTAAAAAACTAGCCCATTAGCTGTATAATGAAATTAGCCAATGATGATCCGTCATTTCTTCCATAGAAGTACGATACTTTATTATCATTTATTTTGTTTTGTTGTATTATCATTACACATGTATATATATTCCACACTTTAAAATGTATTTACTTTTTTGCAACAATACACCATAATAGTAACTCGGGCTCACGGCCGTTTATATTTAATAAATAAATAAAAATGCTTGATACAGTTGAATAGATAAATGTAATAATATATGCTTAAAATAATACTCTGTTCATATCAAATAAATATATTGTTTATTTTACTATTATTACAACATCAAAATACATGTCGACCACTATTAGTCGAAAGTCACTCAAAATTATAAATAATATTAATTGAGAAACAGATAAGTAATAACAATAATTTCATAGTTATATAACAAACTTGTATTTATTAATTTTTTATGTTTCCCAGATTAAATTATGATTCTTAATTAATTCACTGGGAGAAGAGTCTTCTAATAACATAAAATAACCTTGTATTTGAGCTGCACTTGCAGGTTTTCCAGTCTTAAAAACAGTTTCTGCAAATTCCTTACTATATTTTTCACTGTCATTATTTTCTAGGAAAAATCGGTTATACATTCGTTCAATTTGTGATTGAGAACAATGACCTATATACTCCTTGGAATCTACTCTACCAGGTCTAATCAATGCAGCATCTAGTCTAAATATAAAAAGTCGAAAAATTTAAGAATTTGTATTCAATAAGTAAAGAATTATTTACTTACCTTTCAATGTAATTTGTTGTCATAAATAATATTCTAGCTTCAGATGAAGCTGCTCCATCAAGAGCATTTAATAAGCCACTTAAAGTTACCCGGCTCAGTCCATCATAAGCAGTAGCAACTAAAAAAGTTATTATATATTAAAGATATATCCATTATTATTTTATGAATATGTACACCTGAACCAATTAAACAATACCTTGTTTAGATTCATGTCTTCCACCAAAGGCTGCATCTACATCTTCTAATAATATAATTGTATTTTGAGGAGCAGCGGTCATTAAATAGTTTAATCTATCATCAGTGAGTCCACGTTCACTTAAATTTAATAAACATACGCCAAACTGCAGTTCTCCAGCTAAAGCTTTGATAAAAGATGTTTTTCCACAACCAGGTGGCCCATGCAATAAATAACCTCTTCTATATGGTATCCCACGTTCAATGTACCAATAAGGTTTGGCAATAAACTTTTGTACATCCTTTAATATTCTTTCAGAAATACCATCATCTAATACAACTGACTTTAGAGGCCTAGGCTTTTGTGGATGTCCAAAAGGACGCCATTCTGATCCCAATGCAGTATATACTATTGTACGGCCTTCCAAAGTTTTTAAAGCCATTTGACGAGCTACCTGACAAAATAATCAAAGTAAATTGTATTGTGAGTATATTATAATAAATTTATATTTTACATTTTACCTTCTTCTAATATATTAGTGAATAGCGACTTATTTGTACCAAATGTGGTGAGTACAACATTTTCCCATGGAACACCAGCATGTAAATCTAACGATTGTTGTTCCCTCGTTCTAGTAACTTGAATATATTTACCCTGGTACCTGAAAAAATAAATTTTATCATATAGAATCAATGATTCAATAAAATTGTTTTTAATTAAGTAGGTACATCTGATATAATTTTTAAGAGAATGGAGTGGAATGTAGGCTGTAGGGCATCAGACAATAAAATGGAAATAATGGTGAGAAATAAATGTATTAGGATAGTGTAGTAGTGGCACCAATTACAGACAAAATGAGGGAGAATAGGTCGAGATGGTTCAGTCGTGTTATGAGGGGAGGTGACTTAGAGGCAATGATAATGGCTATGGAAATAGAGGTTAAAAGGAGAGAGGGTGAGTATAGAACCGGAGCAAGAGGATTACAGGAAGTGCAGCCGAACGGGGCCGTGAGCTTAGTGTAATGACAAATGGTATAGTACAAATAATTACTAACATTCAACTACAAATTGTGATAACTTTTTCACAACAGTCTCGCTCACATGGGAATTGGGGACAGAGTGAGTATTTTTATTTCATTTTGTGGTATCTAAGATCAAACTATTAACTAAGTAATCAATATAATAAAATTCCACCTATGCGGTTGACAGAGAAGTAACAACAAGCTACTTACTCGATTAAATGTACTCCAATACTGGGTAAGAAATGATACGTGGTGTTCACCCGTCCGGTGTCCATTTGCTCGAAAGTCGTCTCAACGCTCAGGTGCTGAGTGCGCCGGGCTGCCTTTTGAGTTACCCACAACAGTACCCATTGATAGCTTTTGTCACGGCACGGCACTTCCAAGGTCATCATGAAATTACGGCGAAACAACACTAGACCGGCAGAGGCGCCCTTGCGCAACACGGCCGCTCCTAAGCCGAGCCCGAACAGACCGAAGCCTGCGCCGAAGTATGGATTGTCACCGAGCGTGGATAGTAGATCGGACAACGGCATTTTCGAAAAATAAAATATAAATAATAGTAATAGAGCAGGCTTATGAATGATCGTCCCCTGTAGTTTTTCAGCACTAGCTATAGATAGAACACGACCATAGAAAATAGATTAGTACGACCTTAGATCATTGTAATCATCGTATGGGTATGAACTTGATCTAACTACTCATTACCATTACTATCCAATAGCTACTATTCAGTTAAGACTTTAAGAGTACTGCACTTCGATATATTTATTATTTTAATCACAGCATTAATAATAATATCACAGGACACAGAATAAAAATATGTCTGCTTGTAATCAATAATGGTCCGTGACCGTTTGTACGTTCAGATGGTGGCTGGCCGTCACTCGACAACGCACCGAACTTCAGATTGTGGTCTACGAAAAAGAAAAAATACAGACCACGGTCGTTCGTCCGACCACCGACCGTCACTTGTCAAATGGAGGGGAGTCCCAAAATCTGTCTAACTCTGTGTCGGCGATATATTTTGGCTGTGTGGGGAGGTGGTGCGGTCGGTCCGTCCATTCTGTCGTCGGGTGAAGTGGCCGCAGTTTAGGCGGATTGGCCGGAAACGTGGATCGTTTGGGAACACCTGACCGACATACGTTTCCGCCCGACGGGAAACCCCGCGCGCTGCGGCCCGCCCGCACACTTAATGCCGTCTTCGTTGCACTATCTCCCCGTCACCGTCGCTCGCTCACGCGCGCGCGCTAGCTCACCCGTCCGTCCTGTCCCCCGAGCATTTCGCATGAATGGGAACGCTTTTCGGAAGGAAGGACACAACCAACACACACACGCAAACATACACAACACACACACACCGAAAAACCATGAATCAATTACTTTTTTGAATGAAACGTCGTTGATGAATTGGCGGTGGACGTGCACCGGGTTTGCGCGGAATGACGATGGCCGAGGGTAAGCCGAACTTCAGGGTCGTGGAGAGACTAAAGATCAAAATTGGTGAGTGGTTCCATATCATAACGTTATGTCCGTTGTTCCGTGTCGTGTAGTCGACACGGGTTGGGGGGGCATATTTTCGGGTGCCAGTTTCGATGCCCCCCCTGCGCATTGTCTTACGTGTTAATGCATCAATGGAGACCTGTTAATCCCCGAAAAAATATTCATGAATGACCAAATCTTGTTGTTTTGATTATAGGTGATGCGAAGAATTTGGGCAAGGGACACTCGTCGCTCAGGGACGGACATTGCACAATCACACTCGACCAGGAAGAAATTTTCCGTACGGCCACTATTGAAAAAGCGATTGAGTGAGTACACCTACCCAGCCGATTGTTTGTGGTTTATCAATTTTATGTCATACTTATGTACTGTCGACATGCCCTTGTAATAGAAACTGCTGGTACACTGGGTCGTGCAGGATCTTATTCTGTTCAAAAAATAATTCTGAATACTTTTTAATTAAGAGGTATAGGGACTATTTATTGGTAACTAAAACAACAGTAGTAGATAATGGCAGTTGCCATTGTAATCACTTCATTATCTTTATGCATTATAGGTAGGTACACAGATTATGTATGTGTATCAATCCTGTATACATTTTTTAAAAATTAGAGGTTTAATTTTAATTAAACGTTTGGTATTTGATCTCAATATATTATTATTGGTTATAAAAAAAAAAAACAATTATTAATTAAATTTGATACTAACTATTTAAAGATCTATAACTATGAAGTAATACATTTTGTAAGTTCAATTGTTTTTGTTTAGCGAGCTTATATCTTATGAATATACAAATACCTAATCAAATTAATTCAATTTACATTTGGTAGAATTATTTTGGCGTTTCCTTTCTAGTTCCTATATAACTTTATATGCATCTATAGATTTTTAATCATAGACATTTGTATTACCTACCTATTCTAAACTGTGATATTGCCTACATACAGTTTTATTATAACACTTAACTATACCTACGAAATGTAATCATTTAGGTGAACTTAATTACCTAATACAATTTTTGATTACATAGAAGCATACACATTTTAGAACATAATATTTGATTGGATCTTTTTATTCTACTCTATTATAATGTGTACATATTCCTAATTGGCCTGATAATTTATTTTTGTGTTATTATAAATCTACATATTATTATTATGTTTCTATTGAGATACCTAGTTGTATATATTATTATATTAATCAAACTAATTTTTATCTATTTTTATATTTAGCATGAGAATAATTAAGATAAAACTAATATAATGTTCAAGTCTAAAATGAAAGAATTAACCATTGTTATCATTATCACTTGAATAGAGATCAGCTATAGATATATTAAACTAGAGAGTAGTTACATAAAAAATGATAAACATTTGAAATTAAATTTATATGCATACCTAACAATTTAGTTAACTTTGTACCTAACTTTTTAAATTTGAATTTCCTTCTAATACCTACTAACGTATATATTTTAAATAAAATGTCTACTGAATACCTATAGAACATAATATAGTGCTGTAATATTGTAAATATCTTATTTATATTGTCTATACATTAATGTATTTATTAATATAGATTATAGTAAAATAATTCATTCAAGGCACGTATTAATAATTTTAATGGCACGTGAATATATTAAATGTTTGTTTTCCAAAAATGTTATGAAATTTATAATTATAATGTACAACATTTTGATATAAATATTATTTTAACCATATAATATCTGATTTAACATGATACCTATATACCTAAAACATCTAAATGCAATTTAATATTTTTAAATAACAAATCAATATTTTATTTTATTTTTCTTACCCAATTTTCATACCTCACATTCAACTTTATCTAACCAGTGAAAGCAGTGGTATAATTTTAACTAACAATCAAACTTTTTCAATTTAGTTAAAATGTAAATATAAATTTGTTTACATAATATAGATCATAAAGTAATATTTATATTTTGTAGTTAATAATCTATACATTTGGGTATAGTATATTTTGCTTATAGTAGGTACAATCATACAATTTCATTTAAATTATTTTAAATTGTTGTTATTAATTATTAGGAATTAGTTAAATTATCATCTTTAAAATAAATACCTAAACCTATAAGTAGATAAGTAGCATTTTTTAAAAAAATTTCTTGACAAATTGTGTGAATCACAGTCCTTGTAATGAATTGCAATTAATATTCTATACTTTGTGTTCTTAATATATTCTAATATTTTATTATATTATTGGGTCTTGTTAAATATTTTAGTTGTATATTTATACATTTTATGAAATTTATATTTAATATAAGCAAATTAATTAATTTTTAAATAGTAAAAAAATAATTCAAATTTAAAACAATTTAAAAACCTATTATAATTGTGAAATTTTGACCATAAATTGAGTACATTGTATAATATTAAAAGTTTGGCAAGGGTGATACCACACAAGTATCTAAATAATTTTAACTCTGCTACATAATTTGGCAAACTTACATTAGACACACTCACTTGGGAATTCACTGGCACTGTTTACGCAGAATAACATAAACAATTTTTTAGGTAAACGTATGAATTCTTTTAAATGTTAAATTATTTTTTTCTTACAATTAGTTGAAAAATTTATGTTTTGACAGATTAATTATATTGAGATATATTTTTCAAGTTGAAACAATAATTCATATTTACTTCAATTGGTATTTGCATATTTAAATTTAAATAACAAATGATTTTTATGTTGTATGTAGTTGTTATATAGAAGAGAGATCTCTATCAAATGTAAATATCCTAAAAATAGACCCATTAACTGTTAAATTTTTTTTTGAAAAATAATCAGGATAATACAATTAAAGAATTTACTGTCATGTGAGAATAATAAATTAACGTTTATGTATTTATAAAAATACCTAATATCTTATTAGTTGAAACAATTCATACTTTTAATCCATCCCTTCTATCATACAACAAAATTTTTTTTTTCTTTGCGACATACACTTACCGTGTATAAAATATAGGTTCTACATTTTCAATTAAAAAAAATGAACAAGTAATAACATTCATGGTATTTTGTGAATTGTAAATTTAATTTAGTAGAATTTTGTTGTTACTACTTCATATAAAATCATTTAAATAACCTATTAAAAAGTTATTATTTTGTTTTATAATATTATAATTAATTTGAAAAATGTTGTGTAGGTGGAGGTAGGTTATCTACACGTTGTAATATTTGGAACAGTACTATGACCCGTTTTCAGAAAGTTGGCTAAAAATAATGAAAATCAGTTCTTGTTGATTTTTACACTGTTTTGGTTTGGTGCACCGGGACAGATAGCGAGAGAATAAAAGTAACAATTAACATTGAGGTAGACAACGTCATAATGTTATAATTATCAGTATTATAGCAAATAATGCCACTATATCAGCATTCAGTGCCAACACCTACCAGTCAACTGCTCTCTCTTCATAGTTTTTTCCCTAGTTTTGATCTGAAATATGAATAGTCAGTAGTCACCTTATGTTTAGATATAACTACAGTAATATTAGGTACTTAAACCATATTATGAGAGTATATAGTACTTTATTCCCACCATATTGCTTATTGTTTAGTTATATATTTTCTCACTATTTCTTTTATAATTATATATAGGTATAATTAGCACATAGTTAATTTATTATTGTCATTAAAATTTATTTATTTTATTCACTTTTTAGTCCATTTTGGGGTGAAGAATTTGAGTTTGAAATACCTCGTCGTTTCCGTTACCTTGGTGTATGTGTTTATGAACGAGATAGACCATTAGGAAGAGTAACTGTCCGAAGGGACCAATTAACATCGTTTAATGACAAGGATCACTGGTTCCCTTTACGACCATTGAATGTTGAATCTGAAGTACAGGTATTTAATTTTATCATTAATTATATATATATAGATTATAGAGTATTATATGTAGATTTAATGTATTATAAGCTTTATAAAATTGGGTAAATTATATTGCAATGGTAAACCCTTACACTTAAATTAATTAACGAAGACCTAAAATGAAATAATTGTTATATTATGTAGAATATGATACAATCTATAATACTATATAACTTTAAATATGTGAATATCATTCACAAAGCATTTGTATAGTCATATAAATAAGAATGACATTGATATTCAACAAGTTAAATAATTTATACAATTTATACAATTTATCATTTCGTATTTCAGTAGATTCATTTTTGTTCGTTTTTGTTGTAAATCTTAACATTTAGGTATATTCTATTATTTATCTTGATTAGTTGGTACTTGATGTGGAGCTGAACATTTTTATAAACATGAAAAAGTTATATCTATTATAAATCTATTTCCTTATCTAATCGTAAATATTAAATAACGAACTTCTGTTTTTCATGTGAATTTTTGGTTGTACAAATCAAGTATAATCTCATAAGTGAAGAAAAATGATTTATAACTATTGAGATTATTGTTGTCTATTATATTATAATTCCTAGTACCAAGGTGTCATAAAAGTATATGTTTGGACAATTTCATTTTGTATATGTTTTGTTTGCATTAGAATATGTAGTTTTTTGTTAAACATCAAGAATGTATACCTAAAAATAAAATGAAAATGGTTTATAAATTGCACCCCTTTATTGCAATCTGTCATTATTATTGTAAAAGAAATAAAGGCATTCAATATACGATATGCTATGTACTGAACGTTTTATGGTTTATTATGGAATCTACAAAAATATAGATATTTACCAATATCTATTCACTGTACTAAATTGTATTATCATCATTTTACAATTAAGATTAGGCTTTTTACAACAAAAATAATATTAGTTTGTGAGTTGTTGTACGTAGATAGTCTTGTAAAGTATTCGAGTAAAAATATTCAAATACTTTTTAAAAAAGTACTCAAACAAATTATTTTAAATAGGTACTTTCTTAAAGTATCTGTATTTAAAATAAAACACTTATTTTCAAATACTTGTCTGTTTTACTTTATATATTTTCTATTTTAATTATAATAATCACGTAAAAAAAAAAGAAATTAATAATTTATTAATCGATTTTTTTTTTTTTCTGTGAATTATACTCAACTGAAAATTCTGATTTGACAAAAACTCAGATCAGTATATTTTTATAGTTATACCAAATGAGATACGGTGTAAAATCCTCTATAAAATTAAGTAAAACTTGAAAATCAGTTTAGTTGATTTATAATTTAAAAAATATATTTATAAACAATATGAAAGTAGGTATTTGGAACTATCTATAAATCATTTTTTAAAGTATTTTTACTTGTACCCAAAAAACTTTTTTTTGAGTATTCAAATTGAAAACGTTTTTGAAAAGTATCTGTTTCTGTAAACTTTAAAAATATATACTTTACAAGACTATGTGGATTATATGTGGTTTGACTGGTTAATTGAATTATTAGTTTGAATGTTTGGCTATGAGTTATTTGTATCAGCTTATAATTTACAATTAAGAAATGTGAGTATGTTTTTAAAAGACACATGATTCATTACTTGATGAACAATCGTGTACTAAAATTTAAAACAAAACTATATTTGTTGGAGATATATAGTTTTCTACTATTTTTAAGAATTTCTATAAATTAAAAATAGTAAAAAACAAGATTCAGAGGGAAATATTTTGAAAGCCATGTGACATATTTACTAAAAATGAGTGTCATACATTTCACTTAACATGCAAAAAAATAAATAATAAATGTAATAGTCATTTATATTTGTGGGATATTTTAATAATATTCTGGTATTGGGTAGTTCAAATAAATGAACAAAGTAAAAATGCTGCATTTTAAAGGCACGTCAATTTTCACTATCAATTGTTTCAAATTAAGTTAGATCAAATATTTATCATAAATAGCATATTGTATAATTATCAAAAAAAAACTATTTCACGTGCTTGTGAGTTGCTAATTAAATGTTTTTGTTCAGGGAAAAATTCATATTGAAATAGAATTTGGCGAAAACCGAGGTAGACTAGGTGTTCGTTTAAATGAAGCGTGTGAATTAGCCATTACAAATGGAAATTGTGATCCATTTGCTGATGTTACAGTTCGATATACAAATGACAAGACAGAAACCCAAAGAACCAAAGTGAAGAAAAAGACTAATTCACCTGTATTTGATGAAGCTTTTGCCTTTACTGTAATGTTTGATAACACTTATGCTACTAACTTATTAAGAAAAACTAGTTTCATAATATTTATTATTTTAGTTACCGGGATTAAGTGGAATTCATAAACAACACATAGCAGGCCAAACACCCACTGCTGATTGGGCTGAACTTATAGTTACACTTTATCATGAAATATCCAGTAGTAATACTGTATTTTTGGGTCAAGTAACCATACCGTTACAAGGAAGAACTGTTAGTGCATGGTAAGTTTACTTAATTGTATAAGATTAAATATTAAATCTCAATCAAATTTTTTTCTGTACAAAGGTATTTTCTTCAACCACGCAATAGAAAGTCAAGTCTCAGGGAAGACCAGGGTTTTAATTATCCAAGTGTAGGATCATTGCGTTTAAAAATTCACTACACGGCTGATCATGTTCTACCATCACACAATTATGAACGTCTAAAACATTTACTGATAAATAGTCATGCAGTAGTGGTATTATTAATATTATTAGTACCTAAATATAATTTATTTATTTTTCAATAAAGTTTTATTAATAAATCATTATTTATAATTATTTAGCCAACAACTGCTAGCACTGTCTACCTTTTGGGAGAAATTATTCCAAATAAAATAGATTCTGCTCAGCCTATTGTACGTATTTTGCTACATCATGGGCAAATTATCCAGACAATCAAATCCCTTGCCTATTGGGAAATATCAAAAGTTACGTAAGTAAATTTAGGATATATTATTATTATTATTTTTAAATTGAAAACCTTAAATGGCTGATAACACTTATTTCAAATTTTGCTGCACATAAATACCTAATAGCCCCTAATACAATGTCATGTCTGTAATCTCTCAATTCCAACCCTTTTAACTCCTACTTATCTTCTCTAGTGCTTCGGATCAAACAAATTATCCTGAAACTCTTCTATCAAACTACATTATAAAATTTCTTCTTTGGATTCCTTGTCACATTGGGATTCATGGCAACAAAGTTGCGAATCACCTTGCCAAATCTACGTCCAACTCAATCTGCCCAGCTCTTACCCAACTTCCTCCAATTAATTTTACCCCCACTTACATGTCTTCATAGTAAAAACCTCTGGACTTTGAAGTGGGCAAATCTAACAGCAGAAATTGCATCAACATATAAAAACATCGCCCCCAAATTAAATTCACTCAACATGGTTCAACTAACGACATCTACCAAGATCCTCAATAGTTCAATACAACCGATTACTCATGGGACACTCACTTTTATCTTATCATTTCTACACGGTTGTTTAAGTCAAGTTTGTAGGAAAGACTCGTGGCTTAAGTGACTCCACTCTGCACCTTACGCCTGGCAGAAAACCCCTGCTACCTTTCTCATCTTCTTTTTGAATGCTCTGACTTGTACCTTGTTTAACTCTAAAATCCCTGATTATACTCGCCAATCTCTTCTCCATTCTTAACTCAAACTCTGAACTTGTTATTAATATAATAATATCATTCATATTGAAGGTTGGTTTCCTTATTTAATATTGTATTGTTAACTGCGAAACTCGTTTAATGTATACTACAATAATTGTCAAGCTATCATTGTAATACAAAAAGCTAAAAAAAACCCCCTTCAAATGTAATAAATGTATGTTTTTTTTGTAGCGATGCAAATACTATATTTCGTGGTAACTCCTTGGTGTCCAAAATGATGGACGAATCAATGCATATTTCTGGAATGAGGTACTTACACGAAACTCTTAGACCCCCATTGGAAAGGCTTTTGGCAGAAAGGAGGCCTTGTGAAATTGATCCTGCAAGAGTTAAAGACACAACAGTTATTAGTCATAATTTGGCAAACTTAAAAGTACATTACAATAGTTTTGAATATTAAATAAACAAGTAGACGAAATTTATCTCTCAATATTAAACTATTAATTTGACTTTTAGATTTATGTGGAAGATGTATTCAAAGCTATTACAACATCAGCTCTAAAATGTCCAACTGTAATGTGCCAATTATTCCATACACTGAAAGAAGTAGCTATAAAATATTTTCCAGGTTAATTTTTTAGATACTTTGGTACATATGTATTTTGAAAATGTTATTTAATCATGATTATTTTAATTTTTTTTTAGAAAACAAAGAAATTAAGTATTCGGTTGTGTCTGGATTTATTTTTTTAAGATTTTTCGCTCCAGCAATATTAGGCCCTAGGCTTTTTGATCTCACAAAAGAACAAATTGTATGCTTTAATTAATTTATCAACTTTTTTTTTTGTTTCATGTATCATGCCTATTATTATTTTTAAGGATTCTCAAACAAACAGAACTCTCACACTGGTATCAAAAACTATCCAAAGCTTAGGTAATCTTGTATGTTCACGATCAAATTTCAAAGAAGAATATATGTCATCGATGTATCAATCCGTATATACTGAACAACATGTTACTGCAGTTAGACAAGTAAAATTATTTACTATAAATAATATTTTATAATATTGTTTCTCACAGTATACGTTTATAGTTTTTAGAAATTATTTCTGCCTCAGCTGGTCCAGAAGAATGTACTCAGGATACTCCCGTAACACTCAAAGAAGGGTAATAATTAATTTAATATTTCATTATTATTTCACCTATGATCACATATTCTCCCATTATTGTTGTATAATGGTTAAATATATTTTAGCTATCTAAGGAAAATTACTTTGTGGTGAGTAATGTGTGTAATAATAATAAGTTACAATACAATGGAAATATATTATATTATGCCAGGTGATTGATATTCCATCATGCAAATATGAAAAATTGAATCCCGATCATCTTGTACATCCATATAATTATATCTCTTAATATTTTAATTGAAATCATTTGCTATAGGATGTTGACAAAACGTGCTCAAGGTCGAAAAAAATTTGGTAGGAAAAATTTTAAACAACGCTATTTTAAATTAACTACACGAGATTTGTCATATGCAAAACAGAAAGGTAGATATTTAGTTTTATATTTATAGAAAGCTCTATTAACGTACAATTATTTTATATTATCTAAGGTAAAGAGTCCCTCTGTACAATTACGTTGTCAGACATATTGGCTGTTGAACGACTTCAACAAGAGTCGTTCAATAAAAATAATATGTTCCAAATAATTCAACCAGAGAGAATTTTATATATACAAGCTAATAATTGTGTTGAAGAGAAAGAATGGGTTGATTTATTGACTAAAATGTGTTTCTCAAACAGTAAGCGACTTACCCTTTATCATCCAGCTGCTTTTATAAATGGCACTTGGCTTTGGTAAGTACAGTAATATAATATTAAATTGATTCTGCATTAAAATATTTAATAACTTTTACAGTTGTAAGTCTAACAATGAAAGAACCAAGGGATGCCAAGAAGTATCAACTTCTGTCGATCATATACAAACTAGTAGTGTTGACGTTGATAGAGAACTCTCTAGAATACATGCGCTTTGTGTAACTCATATTGACAGATTTGATAGTGTATTGAGTAAGTGTGATGTAGTTTTTGTATAGCATTATTATTTTTAGTAATAATATATCAGAAGTGGGGTCCTCATTAGAGACCAACTGACACTTATTTTTCTCAAAATATTTAGTTAAAAAAATGTTTTAATCATATTTTGACTACCCTTAACGATAAAAATGATAGGGAAGTGGACAACAATCTGTCATAAGCTACAATCAAAATAATATAATATACCGCGTGTCCTCGGTAACGGTACACTTAATCACTCATTACCTTGTCAGTAATTTTAAATTGTCTATTAAACTGAACAAATACTGGATCATACATTTCCATGACTTACAATTTCTGTAACTCATTTATTTTGAGCATGCGCAACAAAACTTCATTTTTTTTAAATGGCAACTCCTATTTTGAATATAATTTTTGTTACTGATCGTTTTTTCAAGTAATTTTGATCCATCAACTTGTGTTCTAAACCCAAAATTGGCAACTAAATTTGATTTTTTTTTTTGTCGATTGTACGTATTTTTTGTTTCCAAACACCATGCTATGATCAAACTTGGTATGATTCAAGTAATAAATGAATTAGTATTTTATTTTATTATTATTCATTATGTAATCATGGTGTTTAGAAAATAGAAAAAAAAATTGTAAAAATAAAGAAGAACAAAATCAAATTTAGTTTATTTATTTACTTTTTAAATTATACCTAGCACTAAATTTGAGTATTTTGGGTTCGTAATATGAATGATTGATCAAACTTACTTGAAAAAAAACAATCAATCCAAAAATGATATTCAAAATAGGGGTTGCCTTTAAAGAAAAAAAAGTTGTGATACTCATGCTCAAAATACATGAGCTTAAAAAATTGGAAGTCAAAGAAATGTATGATCCATTAATCTAGTTGAATATACCTGAAACCGATTTGGAAATTATTAATTATTTACAGGGTTATGAATGATGAAGTGTACCCTGTTTCCACGGACACATGGTACAAATATCTATCTATTTAATATCTATTACTATACAAATGATAATTTATAAGGTTGATTATCAAGTCATATTTATAATCAACTATTTAGCCACTTATTTGGTTAGGTTAATATTCTAGGTTAGGTTATTAATATTCTTCTTCATTTTTCAAATTTATGTGATCATTAAATAAACGTATTAATTATTATTTGTAGAAGCATGTGAGTGTAAAGCTGTGTATCCAGGAGATAGATTATGTCTCCCTATACTAATTGAAGATCCCAAAACTACATTTATAACTTTATCTACTTTGCGAGAAATAATATATACATTAGAACAAGAGCATCGAACAGTTTTAAGAACTATTGCTAGAGAAACAAAATATGGCAGCAAGTATGTTATATATTACTGACATAATATTGTATATTTATAAAGAAAATACATTTTAATATAAAAAGAAGTTTACATTTAATTTTACCAAATTAATTTTTATTTATTTCAGACAAGCACCAATTGGTGATGATAATTACCTACTACTAGCAGGACGAAAAGACCTCAGTGCACATCATCAAAAAGTTTGGTAGCATACATTTAAAAGATCCCGTTCGATTTAAAGGGGTAACAATACAAAACATAAATTTAAATAGATTTTTAAAAATCTACATAATTTTTATAGAAACTTAATTCAGTAAATAATTTATATATTACTATTAATATTTTATTAATTATTTTAGGCTTATCCTTTAATGTTAAAAATCGATAATTCTCAAATTTTACAAAAAATTAACCAATAGATATAATGTTGTTATGACATGTATAGTTTTATACACGCTTCTCCATTAACAAAAACCATTGTGCCAACAGTAATTAACACCCTTGTGTTCATATGATAGTATTCATATTACTTAAGTATGTGTATATATATTTTTCATTTTTTTTTTCTTTGGCAGCTTATATTTTTTTACAAATTCTCTATTTCTCTAAATTATTAAAAATTTACCAAATTATTTGTTTAAGTGTTTTATATAGTTTAAAAACAATTAATTGAAATGAAAAACTTAAAGATTATAATATATCTGTTATAAAATGTTGTAAATATGAGTAAATCGACTCCACATTCCCTTTGTTTTCAATCTTCTTTGTACAAAATTATTATAATATTATTAATGTACAGTATTTATTATTGAACGAACAGATTTTCCCCGTCTTTTTGTCTATGAGTCGATTGTACATTTTTCTAACACCAACAATGTTGTGATTGTTAATTTTTAACCTGAGACACCAAATTATTGAATTAATGTTTAAGATAATATTTAAATATCGTTAATGTTCTTAAAAAAAAAATTAATAAAATAACATATAGATGTGTTAATGTTTGAAATATTCTTCATTTTTTAAGTCTTCCTTATTTTAAATTGTATAATTTTTAGTTACCCTAACAATTTCAGAAAATTTTCTTAAATACAAATAATATCATATAATATAATATGTAAGAATGTATTTATTTTTATTTTTTACTATACATTATTTTTTTTTTACTTGAATAATTTAGAGTGTATAACAATTTGTTATTAATTTCATGTCAAATATATAATTAATTAAAGCATTTATTATCATTTTCATAGTACAAAATATGATTTTATATTTATATAATATATAAAAAAAAAACATTTCCCGAAGAAAACTCCACTATTATTATATTAATATTATCCTTATAAACATATTATTAATTAATAATTATGCAATATGCATACATGCGTTCATGTAATGTTGCTCCTGCTTTTAGTTTTCTTGTATAAAAGTAATTTAAATAAAATTAATAATTTAGCATTTATTTGGTTGTTTTTTTCTTTTTCCTGTAATATGTCCTAAGAATTTAAGTATCTGGTATCTGTAACATTTTTTTAGTATAAATATGATTGGAACTACTAATTTACTTCAGTTATATTTTATTTAAAGTCTCCAAAACAGCTGACATCTACTCAATATCAATAAATTAGTTTTGATTGTCTCATCAACATAATATTCTATATTATGATATTATATGCTAATGACTGATAAAACTCTTGCCTCGAAAAACAAATTGGCGAAGACATAATGTACTCGTGGTATCACCTATCTAGGTTTATAACTGCAATTTAAAAAAAAAATGTTTTACCCTGAGCTCAGTGGGGTTAGGCAGCTAATAATATTTAAAATAGTACCTACAAAGATCTTATGGGGTTAGGGATACTTTTGAATGAATTTTTATATGAGATGAATTAGAGATTTTTTTTATGAATTTAAGAAATAGATTGATTTTTAAACTTCTCTTCACTTGATTAGAAAAAATCTTTAAAATCTCAAGAATTGTTAGGAACACTTTAAACAAAAATTATATAATGTGTTTAATGTTTGTGACTTTGTGAGTAATAAGTTTATAACATTTTAACATTTGGTAAATATAATTTTTAATATTTATAAATATTAGCTATCAGTAAATATTTTTGAATAGTTTATTGAAATTTAAAACCTATGAATTGCCGTGTACGCTGATTACTTTGACATTTACAATAAACTTACAAATATTACAATAAGCACTTATAATAAATACTGGTGTTTAGTGGCGATGAAGTCATACGATCACCACCGTATCGTGTAGTACCATGACTTAGATAATTTCTGTTTTGCTACACCTGCTTTAACATACTGACTAAGAATTAATATTAAATATTAAATAGTATTACCTTCATCAATTCTTGGTTATTTAATATGTGATTTCGTCCACATTTGAGAATAAAAAAACTGATTATATATTTTTAAATTTTTCGTTACAGAATTACCTACTTGTGAGGAATTTTATATTACATTTTCAACTCTTAGTTATGAAAGTTGAACATTTAAAATTTTTAACTAAAATTATTTGTAAATTTTGAATGATATGAATTTTGTCAAAATTTGACTTAAAATGCTTTAAAAAAAATCTCTGTCTCTGTATTTTTAATATTTTTCAACCGATATTGTAAATATACCAGGAGTCTTGTAAAAAATTGTCATGCTATTTGACCCAACCAATACAATTTTATTGATAATTATAGAAAAAAAAATTTTAAAATGTCTGTAAACTGCTCAAAACTACTCAAAATATTTTGAAAATGTTATTATATATAATATATATGAATCAATAATATAAACATATGGTATAAATTTCGAGTGACTGCAATTATTTGTTTTTGAATTACTACAAAATAAGAAAATCACTATATGAGAAATGGAGTGAATAGCCAATGTTGTAAAAAAATCAACTTCAAACGCTCATAAATATTTAATTTGACTTTCCGGTACATTTTTTTTTTCTTAAAGGTAGACAAACTTATAAAGAATATTGTATTAAATCTTAAAATCATCTTAGATATAAAAAGAAAAATTGTTATGAATTTCCAACTCAAAATAATTTGAAAATATTTTCTTAATTTTTGTCAAAATTATAAATTATAAGACGCCCATAAAAATTATTGTGGATTTACGCTCAAATTTTTGTTAGATTTCCACTAACAACAAGGTTAAGATGAACCTTGTATTACATTTTCAAGTTTTTCGACCGAGCTAACATTTTTTAAAGACATTAATCGTAAAAAATCTTATAGGTACCTATACTAAAATACAAAAATATTCTAATCATTTTATAATTGCTTGTCAGTATATCACATAATATCCATTAAAATTTAAATATATTAAAATATCACAAAAATGAAAAATTATAATACAAACATTAATTTAGTTGAATATAGGTACAATTAAATTAAAGTTTTTAAAAATCACCTACCTGTTATCCATTTAAACATTAAAAGAGTTCTTAAAAAATGTAAATTGTTATAATACAAGTAGGTAATAATAATAATGCATATCACTGTTTCTTAAAAATTAAAACCATTGGCTTCCAAACTTTATGTGGCGATATTATTTTAGTGGAAATGCGTAATACTCCAGCAGATAGTGTTATTTACCACCATTTTTGAATTGATATTTTTAACAAAATTGAGCAGTGCTCTAACAATGTCTTATAAATCGGGTAACTATCTAATCTTAATTGAATGTGCTGCTAGTTTTGATTTTACATCACAACTTTTTGCTGTCTACTTTTAAGATCTATCTTTAATTGTGAGTTTACCTGGACCTGACTTGTTTACCTGACCTATTGAAATAAAACATTAATAGCACACATCAAGTTTGATTATACCTACTTATCTATTATTATTATTTATATCCGTTAAACATTTCAATTACAGTAATATCTATAATATCTACTACTATTATAATTAATAATTATACTGCAATTATCAGACGATCTGAAATGTGTAGATGATAAAACTATATAATGGCACATCAGAATCTTGGCAATACCTTTATATTCAAGCAAATAGTTGTGAGGATTCTTCGATTACACTCTATTCTAAACTATACCCTGAAGTACCCCTAGGGCGAAATTAGACCTCTAAAACAAGTGAGGTGCTATAATTGTAAATACCTCAAAGATCCGTGGAGGGCTATGCCCCCTATTATAAAAATTACATGATCTCATAAGTTACAAATCTACAATAATTAATTGGAACTCCATTTTGAAGTATTTTCATCTCAAACTTTTTAATAATATGTCTTAAAAACAGACAATTTATAGCTTTTTTTTACTAATTATTTTATATGCAATTATTTGAAGTATATACTATTGTATTTGGCATGTATACGTGGTTACTGGATTTAATCAAACTTGACGTGTGCGATATTTGTTTTATTTCGGTATGTATGCAAAGTTAACGACCACATTGTGAAAAAATTTACACAATGTCAAATTGGAGTAACCATTTTGTGAAATTATTTTTGTATTTCACAAAGGGTAAAAAAGCCGTTTCTACTTTATGAAATATCGACTTCACGATATGGCTACGATACATAATCAATCGATACAGTGGAATATGGGTACACCATAACATATAACATACATAGCACTATTTTTAATAGTAGTCAATTACCTAAATTGTATTAATTATTGGTATTTGAAATGTTTTGTTCATTTGTTATCTTATTGTTTCATTAACTCCTTATATTTTTTCTGTGTCCGTTCATCCGTTAGTTACTAGTATGGCAGAACAAAGTTACAATTTTAAGGTGTAACTACGATTCTATTCAAAGTAAATTTATACTAGTTAGTTTTAAAAAAAATCAAATCATGAGTATTTAATATAGATTTACTGTATGAAATATTACAAAATTGGTACCAAATATAAATGTTACCTAATAATTACTTTTAAAATTGTATTATATTGCATTATACTCGTCATTTATTGCATTGTATAGTTGTATTAAAATGTGCTTAGAAAACCGGGAATTTAGCATACTTGCATAGTGAGCTTTCATAGCTTGTATTTAGGATACATTTACGGATAAGAAACATTTTTGTTTTTGTTTCTTTTTTATTACGATAAAATTTCAATAGTAATTGGTCCTGGAAAAATTGATGGATGTTTTGATGTTACAATGGTATGTGTATTTTTTTGTGTACCAGTGTAAACATGATTCATAGTAAAAAATGATTTGATCTCCAACTTTGAGGTTTCTGATAGCAAATTGGTTCTAATTAATACATTTGGGTTTCTAAATTAAAAACTACCAGTACTTTTCAAAATAATCGAGGAAAAAAAATAAGGGAAAACAGGAATTTCCATATAAAACTAGTTTCATCAAATGTTTGTATTAGAAATTCCTATTAATATTGACATAAATCTAAAAAATCGTTTTTTTTCTTTAAATGTCGATAAAAAATGTCTCGTTCTTAAAATGATGACGTTGTTACATAATGTTTTTTGGGGGAGATTACCGAATTGTTGTTGTTATGAAATATTCCCATTTTAAATTTGGCTATCTAGAACAGAACGGATCAGCTGGATACTGTTTGAATACCACCTACACGACAATGTACCGAAATTGCCTATACACTGCGCCTACACAAATGAATATTATGGTATCAAGAATAACAACAATGTTGTTTTAAAAACTTAAAACCTCAATGCTTAAACCATAGTTTGGGTTTATGAGTGAGTTGAATACTATATAGTTTTCTTTTTAAAGAATTTTTTTTCCCCTAATAAGTAATAAAAGTAATAAAGTAATAAGTAATAACTTAATGGTGTTTAGGGTATTTTACATAGTAACTGGCATGCTTCGTATTGATATTAGAAACGTTGAATTACTTTAAGGAAATAAATAATAATAGTCGGAAGACAAGAATAAACTGAATGCATTTTGCTGGCAAGTGAAAAGATTCGTAAATATTTGTTTTTTTGGACGTTAACATAATTTAATATTTATCACACATTTGAGAGTTGAAACTTACCTGCAGTGACAATATAATTTGATGAAAATGATGCTGTCATGATACCCAAATCAACTGCTTATCTCCCGTAATCTAATATCAAGTAAAAAATATTATGTACTATTTCATTAAACGACGTCTTCGATATGTTATACTTAATTATGTCACATATTATATATAAATTATGTGAAATAAATGTGTTGGTTTTCAATGATTATCAGTTTTTTTTTAAAATTAATTATTTTTATGTCTGTGACCATTCGATACCTACATTACAGGCATACGGTAAAGTGGGCATCTACCCTCACAAAAAAAATGTGTTATTCAATAAATTATTTGTGTGAGTTCTTTGATAGATTATTTCGATCTGAGTAATTCAATATGTTACATAATTTATATTATTATGTATACATATATTTATTATATATTAATATTAATATTATAATTTATATCTTAATTTATATAAAATATTTATGTTACTATTTTTAAGTTTTAAAAATAATATGATAGAATTTATATATTATTTTATACTTATTCTTATATTTTATGTAATGAAAAATAATTACGTTTTTAACAATACGTAATTTCAAAAATAATTATCAAAAACTGTTTACAGTATATATTTGAATGATTATTGAAACTTATTTACGTTGATTGATGAGCAGGGTATGAAAAATTAGGTTTACTTTGTGACAATTAAAACTGATTTATAATAAATAATGATATTTATATTGCATATGTTAATACATTTTACTTAATTGAATTGGTTAGATTAGCAATATTAGACATTGTTATTTATTTGAGTATTTAAATTTAAATATTTTGACTGTCCATAGTTTTATTATAGAATATTAAAAATGTTTATATATTCCTATTTGATTTATCGCTACAGAATTTTTTTTAACTTAACTAAATTTTTTAGAGTGAAATTCATAAAAAATAGCAATTATAAAAAATATTATATTTTAATAAAATGGAAGGAATGAGTGAGACATTGATGTGGGTATTTTATGTTCTAACGATACTCGGAGAAGCCAAGTTAGTTATTAATGTAAAAAGTATTTTGTGGATTCAAATTTGTTTTTAAATAAATAAAAATTATTTTAAAACATAAAACAAAAAAAAAACTGTTATTTGTAGAGTTTTACTAGTAAATACTCGGCCTTAAATTAATATTTTTATTTGTTAACTAGATAAGGACCAATAGCGTGGTATGAACCCTTATAAAACTTAAATTTGAAATACATAACTTATAAACTATAGTAAAATGAGATCAACTTACAACTGTTTTTTTTAGCTTGATGATTTATTATCGCTTTAAAATGTAATAGAACATTTCAAACTTACAAAAATAGTGGTTTACCCAGTATAGCAATGTGTAAAATATAATGTCTAGAGTTTGTATCTTAGAAATGTTCTTTTTTCAGACAAGAACTTTTTTTATGTTGCTAAATTAGTTTTTATTTATTCTGAAAATGAATCTTGGCTTCATAAAACTTTGTTTTTATTAATTACGAATATGTTTAAATATTTATGAATAAAATATTTTTAGTTATCTTACATTAAGCCAGAAATAATAACAATACTAAACACATATCTATGAAAAATGTAATTAATTGATTTTTAGTTTATTTTATACATTTTCTAGACTAAATTAAGCTGAGATGTTTGTTAAAACAATACTATCTTATGACAAGTTTTAGTTTCTTAGTCAGATTTCTTGATTCATAAACTTTTATAAGTTTTAAGATATATTTTGAATTGAAATAATGTATTTAAAAATAATTGTACTTTTAATGAAAACATTGAAAACCCGTTTGTCTTATAATTCTTTTAATTTTCCAGCTTTAGTCGTAATGTTTATGACTTTTAATATTTAATAACTAATATTTCACTTTTTTGGACACGTTCAGATGATTTAGTTGTGTACTATAACTTAAAATTATTTTGGTAGGGGTATCTTAAAATTTTTATTTTATTTATTTTTATTTCTCCAAGAAGGGCCGCATTGCAGGATAATATTATGTTTATATTGTGTTCACGAACACAATTGTGGATTCAATTATAAATTAGGTTTAAAGAAAAATGTTCTAAAATCTTGAGTATTTCTACACAAATGTATACCTACAATTATTTAAGGACTTCTTAATTTGAAAAACTACTATTTAATTTGCTTATAAAATACATTATAATGTTCGAAATCCGATTCAAAATATGTATTGGTAATCCCGCTAGGATTTATTAGGTTAATGTGGTCTTTAATCGTGTTTGCATTTTTACATCATTTTAGCATGTGTTTATAAATATAAATTATTTAGAAATAAATACATTGCTGCCGTTATCATCACATAACTTATCGATAAAATCATTACCTATTCAATTCTCAAATTAATTTAATTAAAACCAAAATGCGTTTATCTGATTTCGTTAGCCAGATAAATAGCGGCATTAATTTTAAAACGACGTATTATTATTATGCTTTTCGACAACAGCGACAATGACGATAATAACCACAATGTCAATATGTGTATAATGATACTAAAAAATATTAAAGATACAAAGTAAAAAAATCCAAAGCCACCGGACGTCCATCGAAAGCTGGGCATGTGGACGTTGGTGAGTGGGCGATGTGCCCGTAATAAAGCAATTATGTACATATAATAATAATAATGAATGAGGATTTAACGACGAGAACAAAGGACGGAGCACACGGGGTCGACGGCGGAGCTCTCTCTGCCGGCGTTATCCGCTTGTCGCTGTTGCCGCCGCCGCCGCCGCCGCCGCCGCCGACGACGAATGGCTGTGGCGTCGGCTTTTGGAACGCGCGCGATAGTAGTAGTCGCGCACCGGCCGAGTAACCGACGACGAACCCCGCGATCCCGTTCCACCCCAACATCTTCCGTCCTCTGACCCGCAACAAGTGTTCACCGACATAAAACGCGTACACGCATTGGCGATCCCGCAGTGGTCACGCAGGCCGAGTTGTTTCACCGTAAGTCCCGGACAGTGTTCATCAGTTATAGATTTCCGGATTTTGTCTAAATAATACAATAAAGTATAATGTGTCACTATAATGCGTATGGTATGTAATATTATCGCCCTTTGGGAAAACTATCCGCGGAAAATCGAATCGAAATCTAATAATATTAATGGATAATGTCTGTCGTCGAGTAGATTAGGTACCTATTATATTATAATATAGGCCTCAGCGGCAGAGGTTAAATAATCACATTTAAACGAATTATATCTGCAGTGTGACGAACTAGGAAACATAGTGATATTATTGTGACTTGTTATTTTTTCCTAATATTAAAAACCGTGAGTTTAAATTGAACATTTTATAATAATTTTAGTTCGTATAGATTTAGGTACATATAATATATATCCAATATTTTTTTGTTACCATATTCGATTGTTTAAAGTTATATTATGACAAATTTCGATACACTCATAAATAAAATAACTCGTCGTATTTCGTTGAACCGGGAAAACGTGTATGATATACTCATATACATTTTGTGTATAGTTAAGTTACTTTATCTTCGGTAATTATTCCTTTTTTTTAGCTTTCAAATAATTATAATATTTTAGTTTTAGCTGGGTCTCAATGCAGTTGGTATCAAAATGTATTATGTACATAACAATTATGGTAACATATAATAGTTAATTATGTGTAAAATATATAAATAAATACAGCAACATAATTTTTAATTTACATTTAATAAGCTAGATTTTTCAAAGAAATCACATCATGTTTTTCAAGATATAATTAAAATACTAATTAAATGTATTACACTTTACTATGTACTTCAAAGAGGGCATATCTTAAATAGATAAATATTAATAATGTGTTGTATGAATGTGTCCATCATGAAAATCAAAAGCTGTATTTTCTAGCGCACAGTAAATATATTTAAAAATGTAAACACATTTATTTCTAAAAATCACAGTCAAAGTGAAAATATAATATGATGATATAATACATTTTAAATTAAAAATAAAGTTTTGAATATAAATAGGTATTTAACTTAATATTTTTTTAATATTTGTACAATAAATAGTACAAGAAATAATGCTTTATGCCAAAAGCGTAAATGTATGTTTAAATGTGTAACATTTTTTAAGTCGGTAATTGAAAATATTTAAATTTTTTCTATAGAATTTTTATGAATTTAAATAAATATTAAATATTTATAAAATTGGTAAAGATGTAACGAAATATACCATAATTTTGTATTTTTGAACAATGTCGAAAATAAAAATCACGAACTTGACTTAAACTTAATATTTTGTTTTCATAATATTCTGTGTAGGTAGTATAATAGTATATGGAAATGTGTAGTATGTATTATGTATGAGTGTAGTCATATAAAGGATATTTGTTTAAGTATGATTAATTAACTCAAATTTTAGTTATAAAGTACTCAATTACAGTTTTTACGAACTATAGGTACCTACATACTAAATGAACGAATAATAATTTGAAGTTTTAAGTGATTATTTAAACTTAGAATTATAAAATGTTCATTACATTTTTCGTTTATTCTTCAAACAATATATTAATAAAAATAGTATTTTTTTTGAGGATTATTTAAAATATAATCCCAAACAAATTTAAGAAATTTGGTGTAAAGTTTAAAAGTTAGAGAATGTATTAATTTGAAGTAGGATTACCGATTTAAATTATGAAATTTTAAAAGTACTATACAATCGAAAACACTCAATATTCATTATTTTTCATTATAAATAAATTATGATCACGGCTAAAGATGCTACTAATAGTTGGCATTTAGAAGTTTTACGGAATATTAGGACCATTGGAATGAAATAAACTACATACAAAACTAGTTACTTATTGTTTTTAAAGGGTTGGATTAGATTCTCTTACACATTTAACTCAAATCGTTAATTACAAAGTTATTATGAATTAAAATTTAAAACTAACTTAACTTTAACCTTATAACTAGGCTTGACTGGCTTTGAGCTCAATCTACGAATCCAGGATCAAATTATTATTGTAAGTACATTTTTTTGGGTCGCAACTGGTAAATGATTAAAAAGTTCATACTCAAAATGAGTTAAAACATTTTGTTTGAAATGTAATGCATTTTTTATATTTTCTAAACATTAAATATTAACGATACATGGCATTAAAAAATGACTTTTTCGAATGAGAATCACCTTTTTTACTTAAGATATATTATATAACATATATATACCTTTTAGATGTTAATGTATCTAAATAAAAATTCTAATGGGTAGGTAGTTTCTAAAGTAATGGATATGCTTGTACACAAAACATAAAAGATATTTTATAATTTTTATTTGTTCATAGTTATGAAAAAAGTTAGATGAGAGATTCTATAAAACCGAAAGGGTAAAGATTTTTGAAAATATACAAATTATTGTAGTTAATTTTTTATTAATCTATTAGCACTTTACAGTTTGTAGTAATGATTCTGAATAGTAAATATTAAGAACCCGATTAAACAAAATATATGAAATTTAATTGTATTATATTTCAATTATATTATGTATAACCACAGCCGCAGGTTCCCGGGCTAGTATCATTATAATTTATAGGATATTGATTATTGACTATATAATATACATATTTATCTTTACCTAGTTAATAATTTAATAAGTTGGAAACTAATCGTTTGAATTTTGATTTAGATACATCAGCATTTTCAACAAAATTATTTGCTAAATAATTTTAATTAAAAATTATGGTTTTCGTCTGAAAACAGAAATTTGTATCGCTTTAGAACACTACTTGGTACAACAAACTCAAATTATCAAAAATATGGTTAAAATCAGATTTTGAATAACTGCATTATTAAAGAAAAAATGGGTGAGCATGCTCGCTGATTCACCTCATGTAATGGAATTAAACAGGTTCACAGGGACACTGACTGTTTATTGATTAATATTGAATATTACATTTTTTTTCCGGGGTGGAACTGTGGTGGAAGGTAGAAGGAATAACGAAATTAGCAAAATGTTTAGTTCTACCTTAACATAACTTAACGTTTAATGATTTAAAAGTTTAAAATTATTGGCTAAAGTGATATTTACAATATTTTATAGTCTGTAATATGAATCAGCAAAATTCTCGTTAGATGCTCAGTTATAGAAATAAGTAATTTTTGTAAACTTTATTATTAGTGAGTTATTACAATATTATGTAAATACGATATTATATTATTTATACAACATGATCAAAATAACAATGTGTATAATTTTGTAGATGATATTATGAAAAGAACTCCATGTGTCACTAATTTTTTACAAGTTCCTTAAAAATTGTGTTTGTGTAAGTACTTGACTTATTGAATTCACAGGAAAATATTCAATTGAAATATTGTAAGGCTTTTTTATGGTTATTTAATATTTTATTAAGTTTTAAAATGAATAATTAATGAACAAATTGTTTTGTTAAGGACTGTAAGTCAAATAACTATTGTTGTTGAAGTCTTTCCGTAAAATAAAAGTACACATTCGCCATTTGGTATAAAGGTAGAATTTACTTTATTCACAATGTTTAAACTTACAAATTATATAACATCATAAGTCTTAAACTGAATTTGAATTGCATAAATGTTTATACGGTAAAAAACTTTTGATAAAATTACAATATAGTACATTTATATATAGGTATACCTGTATAGTATAATATATGAATGACTATTTTAAGTTCCTAAAATTTAGCTACTCACAATTTAATAGACGCTCGTCATTATTCTCACCATATATATGTATAAAAAAATAGGTAAGAATAGTTAGACTTAAAATATTAAAATAAATAAAAGAATTATTTAAAATTATTCAAATATCTCGTACAATTATTTAAGCAAATGTTTTATAGAATAATTAGAAGTTAAAAGGTTGAATTAAGAGGATATCACATCGAAATTTATTTTTTTGTCTCCATCTTACAAGTGCGTTACATAACAAATTTTACTCTCAGCATATCACGTTTAGCTTTGTTAGTTTAAAAATTAGAATGAATTGACCTCTTATAAAATGTAAAGGTTAGATTATTATCTAAGGCATCTCATGGGCTTTTTGTTATATTTTACTTTTAAAGCGAGTTATGAGTATTTAAAGATGTACAAGCACTTCCTCTTAAAATGTATGGAAAAATTGATTATTTTGGACTTAACTCTATTGTTAATTTATTTTCCATCACCTGTGCTGTATGAAATTTGAATAAATGATTTAAATATGTTATGTTAGAAAAATTTGAATAATTTGAATATTAGAAAACATTTATTTTTTAATTTAAATACGACATTATTTTTATATTACCTCTTTATTAAATAGTTTATAGATTAGAGCTATACATAATTTAATATTTACATTTTAAAAATAGGTACAAAATTACTCTTATTATAGCCACATATATTTAATATATTAATTGAAATATGAACTCATAAATTAATTTTAAGAACAATTTAAATTTTAAAAAAATTCATAAACTAGAAAATAAATACCTTTTATAATACAATATGGTTAGTCAAACAGTTTCTTTTTTCAAAGTTTTGATTTGTCATTGGTTTCAAAAATCATTAACAACAACATACACAATAGAAACAGATTATTGTTCACTAACTTGAGTAAAATCCAAGACTTTTGAGTTAAGAAATCTCAAATATTTTTTTTTTTGGTTCATTAGGTACAAACTTAAGTTAACTTATTCATAATTACATAGTACAAATTAATAACTCTCATATTTAATACATGCAATAGAGAATTTAAGAATTTTCTATTCCAGAACTTTCTTAACCATAATCTACGTAGATTAAATCATTTGGTTTGTTAAGAAAGATAAAAATGACTTCAGATCGTTTAAGCGGAGAATTTATCGTACTCATTGTTAAATGTTAATTAAAAAAATATTATAAAAAAAAGATCGCATCCAAATGAAAAATTACTTTTTGGCTAAAAAAAAAATGATCACCATGCTTATAATAATTTCTGTGTCGTTCCATGTATTTATCCTGTTTATCTTTTCATACTTTACATTCATTCTTGCCATTAATAGGAAAGTTGACTAAAGAAGAATCGATCATGCTTTTT